CAACACATTCATTGCAAAATAAATGCTTACGTGTTTACACGCTTTAAAATATGTTTTGAATCTTGTGGAATTAATTAATTACATAACTTAGAAACTCACAAAGGGAACTTCAGACACGCAGGAATGATAAAATGTATCATATCATCATTTGCATGAAAAAATATTTCTATTTTGTGGAATATTTTAGCATCTTATGATACAATCTGAAGAAACTTCACATCTGTAGCCTTGTTTTCCCAGTGATACAAAAACTGAAATACTGAAGCTATAAACTTAAAAATATATCAACACTTCCACTGGTTTTAGTTAAAAGTTCAGTCAAAATTAAACCATTGACAGTTTCAAGAAATATCACAAGATAAAGGAAAGTGAGACAAAATTCGATATTCCATGGATGGAATAGAGTCTTACCAAAACACAAAAACCATACAGATGAGTATGATGATCCCAGTGATCCCTCCTACAGCAGCCCACCATGATGAAGGCTGATGTGTTCCTGCAGATATAAAAAGGTTAGTGACAAATGCACTTTGATAAATATCATGTTTGTCACTGAGTGTTCAGGCTTATATGAAGGTAACTTAAATGTTCACGTTGCTGTGTATGGTTTAATCTATTTACATTCAATCGAATGTTAAGAGAGTGAAAGCTTCCCTATTAACTTAATGATTTCAATCACTACTTTCGTGTCTTATTTAAAACAGCAGCATATTCAATGTTGGGGCCACAAACTTTGTGGTGATAAGGTTGTGTCTGCATGGTGTTGTATGTCTATTCCAGGGATTTGGGTTCATGTGGGAGTTTTTAATGAATGAGTGGGAAATATATTCACCTGGTTACCGGTCTGTCAAAAATGGAGAACAGGTGAGTAGGGAGACTGTATTTTTTTGCTGACTGTGTTTGTGCATGTGAAATGCCTTGCCTTCTTTAGATTGCCCTCAAGTAGCTTGCATGTGCTTGTGCTTGACTGCAAAGTGGCTGGATGACTGAAATATGGAATAAATGCTCAATGGAAAATGAATGGAAGCTGGGTTGTTTGCTGGTCTATTTAAGAATGAGTCAGCAAAGCAGTTCTCCCTACTTAATCCTCTGACTGGCCTAATTGATATCAAGTCACGTCATTCAGTTCAATAGAAAATAAAGCATTCTATGCATTAGGGCAATGAATCCGACCTGAACAAGACAGGTCGGATGGCAGTTGATACTAGTGTATTATGGGCACTTCTGTTTCTTCTGTTTGGGCTTGAATTTTCTGAGGATGACTTAAAGCTCTTGGACCCTGTTGACAGTGCTTTCATTTCTGTAAATATGGATGCGTTCCCATTATTCTCACCAAACTTTCTTCAATAAATTCAAACCTGTTAATCACAATTCTCCAAACAGTTTATTAATATTAATACATGATTGATTCTTGTGCTGCTGTCTGCGTTTACCTGTTGGATGAATCTCTGCTGATGTCTGATTACCCAGATCATTAGTGGCCACACAGTAATAAACTCCTTCATCTGTTACATTGAAGCTGTAAATCTCTCCTTCAGATACTTTCACAGCTCCATCTCTGCTCTTCTTGAACCAGGTGAAGCTGCTGACTGGAGGTTTGGCTCTGCTGGAGCAGGTCAGGTTCACCCAGCTGCCTGCTGACACCAAACCTGATGGACTGATGGATGCTGAGGTGTCTTTGGGAGCATCTGGAGAAAAAGATGTGAGTTAGATAAATAAATATAATGTAAATAAATTTTAATTTATAGTAGTCAGTTGGGTCGTGTGCATTGCTATGGCATGATTCATCTGCACCTCCATCTGCACATGGAGATGAAAACTTGCAGCAGAGTTAAAATGTGTTATGTCTGCTGCCACAAGGACAGACGCCAAAAATCTTTACCACCACCAGGGCTAATTTTAAGCTCCATATTGTATCACATTTAGACTTTTCTTTATATAATTAGTTTCATATTTTGATTTCTGTAACACAAACATTGCAGGATAAATTAAGTATTTCCATTTTTCTTTGTTTTTTTGAAACAATTTTATGTACAACTGTGAATAAAAATTACTTATAAATTATATCCCATAAATTATGATGAGCTGGCAGAATCATGATATGTTGACATGATCCAACAACAAACTCTGATTGTCTTACATGAAACACTGAGAGTCTCTTCTGTCTCTGCTGTCTTGGTGTCTTTTCCTTGGTTCACAGGATATCTGGCAGAGCAGTTGATCTTCTTTCCATCATGTGTGTCTGACAGAGTGATGTTCTGCTGGATTTTAGTTGTAAAGCTTCCATCTGTGTTTTCCTCTATTTTGTTGTGAGAGTCTTGTTGGAGATTCCAGGTGAGTTGAGGAGGGGAGTGTGGACAGGGAGTGGGAGCTGAGCAGGTTATAGTGACAGACTCCTTCTCCTTCAGATCACCTGGAATTGTAATATTGGGCCTCCACGGAGAATCTGTGGTTTCAAAGATTTTGAAAATACATACAAATAAATACTGTGTGTAATACACTATATTTGTCTAATGTAAAATCATTTGTTCTGTTAACAATTTATTTAAAACTCTATTTAACACACTCTAATCCAGTGTACTGCATAGCACTGCACACTACACTTTACACTGTGATTACTAACCACTCTTTTGTCACATGTTTGCTGATGCATTGTTTTTGTTTTGATTTTCAAATATTTTTATGATGTGTATTATCATTTGTATTTTACTTTATTCAATTGATTTCAGATTACTTTTATCTCATTAAGATATTTGTTTGGTCATCTTTTCGTATCTTAAAAATAAGTTAATTATTAACCTTGTAAGAGCCAACCTATCCAAAAAAAAAATAAAAAAAGCCAGAAATTTGAGATGCTTATTAACCCTTATAACAAAATCCACAATTTTTTGCTCTCATGTGGTGTATGATATATTTTTATTGTATAACTGTTATATTTTTGTATTGCATAAGATACGTGGCAAAAGTTTGTTAAAAACAATGTTAATTTAAAAAAAAAAAATTTGTCCATAACATTTTGAAATTATGGCAAATATTGATCATGTTGATGATATACAGGTCTCAGAAACTCATGTATCAAGTATGATCCAAAGGGCATTATAGGGTTAACATGCATGCACATAAAAGGAGTGAAGCCTGTCAGCAGTAAGTATGTGAAGGGAATGGACAGTTTGAAGCAAATTGGCAAAAGTTGTAAAATCATTATTGAATGACAGTGATCTTCATGGCCTCAGGTCAAACTGCACTGAACACAGACAATTCTGTCAAAAGAATCAGTGCATGAGCTCAGGAACACGTCTGAAAGCCATCAGTAGAGCTGGATGCAGAAATGGAAGTTACAAGTCCATTCCTGCTCTGAACACATTTAACATGAAGTGAGATGGAGATTAAACCTGGCTTTAAACTGCTCACACACTGAAAATGTTATCAAACAAAAAATATGATACATGCTGACTGCTTTGGAAAGAATCCTGTACAGTTAAGAAATAAAATGTAAATTGGGACAATCACTGAGACTGTATTGAAACTTTTAGGCTGATAAAAGATGTTTTAGAATACAGAAAACTATCTGAATGTGGTTTGTCATTTTATTATTATTATTTTATTTATTTTAAATAACTCACCTCTGACTGTTATTTGAAGAGGATCACAAGAAGCTGTTGCCTTGAATGGTTCTCTCTCTACTCTGAAGAAGTATTTGTTTGTGTATGTGGTGGTTAAATTAGAAAACAGAGTGGTGCAGTCTCTCTGATTCAGGTTCCCAGTAACACTCATTGGATAGATGCTAACTGCTCCACTACTGTTGAAGATCACATTGTTTGGATTATTGACAAATCTATCATCATTTTTAATCCACACTCCAAAGGTTTTTCTTGTGCTGATAAATTTCTTTTCTTCTTTGGGTCTGAAGTTACATGGGATTTGCAAACAAGATCCACTCAGTGCTTCCAGCATCTTTGGTGCATTTATGGAGAGTGCTGCTTCATCAGTGCAATCAGCCAAAGCAGCTGTAAATACAGTGCCATGATTAGTAAACTGTTGACTCCATCTTCACTGACCTTTCAGATTTTGTTCAACAATTAAGTTCAGATTGTAAAATGACTCCATGTCTGTGAATGACTGAACAAACAGCTCACCTGGAACAAAGAGGACAATCAGCAACATGCCGACTGTCACCATGTTCACACACAGGAACTTGTTGAAACCTTGAATTACAAACACACATCACTTGAATTATGTATTTTGAAGAGATTTTTCATTATTCTTTAAAACAAATTCATAATCCAAACTTCCTCTTTGCAGTATGAGCTGTCATCATAAGGAACCATTATCAACAACATCTGACATATGAAATGAGTGAAACTAAATCACCAGGAAATAAACTGACATAAATGTATCTGTCAGTGCACTAAAAGAAGAATCACAAAATAAAAGATTAAGTGTCATTAAATAAAAGCATCAAATGTTTCCTTACCAAACAAGTCCCTGTTTAGTCTCACAGTTTTAGAGTGAAATGAAGCAAAATTACAATAAACCCTGTAAACTAGTGGTCAGCATATGAGAAAGCAAGCACTGACATACCCACTGAGTAAACTACACGATACACTCATTTGTGTCCTTCCTGCTTAAAAGTTGAAGGAGAGGATATGACATGTCTATTTTTAACATCTGAACTCACATTCACAACCGAAAAGATTTTTTTTTTTCTCAAGTTCACTCCATCAGAGCCTGCAAGCTTAACCTTGGTTAAAATATTTTTTAAAAATCCCAGTATGACCGTCACTTATTATCAGGAGTTATTACAAGCTGTTAGGGTCATCGTAAAAATGTATACTAAAAAAAAAACAACTGATTAGTAATAAACTGAAACTCTTTATCAGTTTATTTACCTTAACAAAGAAATCAACAACAGACAGCATGACAACAGTCTGCATGCCCTCTGACACACAGAGGGATTGCAAGCCCAGAATATTTACAGAGAGAATGTATCTACCTGCCATGTTCACAGAGTACATTTAGAACATTTATACAACAGAAAACTCATCAACAATTGCTTTAAAGATTACATGGAGACACAATAAGACAATTTCAGAATTTCATTCTGTAAAGCCAG